TAAATTATACAAGTATTTTAAATTATAGATCGATTATTTAATAAAACGAATTTAAAATGATTAATATATTACGGAGCTTATCGTTATGTTAATTACTCGGATCTGCGATTAGACTATTTTATTGCGCGTTCTCAATCCGAATCATATTTAGATCGTCGAGAAGTCAAACGAAAAAACATCGGACGAAATATATTTAATTTTAAATATTTTAAAATAATTGTTATCTAGAGAGTAAAAGAGAGAGAATTAATTATTAATTATATCAAATTATTTCCCGATACTTGTCGCGATCACGTTTAGCAAAGGAATTTGACGGAGCGTCTCGCACTATTACATTACTGTTCGAGTGTCGCCGTACGGATGATAAGGCGTAACACGTAAACAATAGCGCGCTAATGTTTACGCCGCCAAGGCTGAATACCATGTTATTGATAATTCGCAGCTGAAAATATCTTACGTACAACGAAGTATGATCCTCGATGACAATGAAAACGAGATAGAAGTCCAACGCGAAGACGCGACGACGCGAAAACGCGATACCGCGACAACGTAATATTTATTAATTTATAATATTAATTTATCTTATCGCGTTTCGAATTTGACGGAGTGTCTCGCGCTCTACTACATTACTGTTCGAGTGTCGCCGTGTGAATGATAAGGCCGTAAGTCATAACACGTTAACAATAGCGCGCTAATGTTTACGCCGTCAAGGCCGATCAAGTATTATGTTATTGATAATTTGCTGCCGAAATATTTTCCCTACTATGACGTATATACAAGCGGAATATTAAATTATACAAGTATTTTATATTATAAATCGATTATTTAATAAACGATTAATATATCACGGATCTTATTGTTATGTTAATTAGTCGGATCTGCGATTAGACTATTTTATTGCGCGTTCTCAATTCGAATCATATTTAGATCGTCGAAAAGTCAAACGAATAAACATCGGACGAAATATATTTAATTTTAAATATTTTAAAATAATTGTTATCTAGAGAGTAAAAGAGAGAGAATTAATTATTAATTATATCAAATTATTTCCCGATACTTGTCGCGATCACGTTTAGCAAAGGAATTTGACGGAGCGTCTCGCACTATTACATTACTGTTCGAGTGTCGCCGTACGGATGATAAGGCGTAACACGTAAACAATAGCGCGCTAATGTTTACGCCGCCAAGGCTGAATACCATGTTATTGATAATTCGCAGCTGAAAATATCTTACGTACTATGACGTATATGTATACAAACGGAATATTAAATTATACAAATATTTTAAATTATAGTTCAATTATTTAATAAACGATTAATATATCACAGAGCTTATCGTTATGTTAATTACTTGATCCTGCGATTCAATTATTTAATTGCGCGTTCTTAATTCAAATTATATTTAAATAATCAAAAAGTCGTACAATAAAACATGGGACAAAATATCTTTATTTTAAGTATCGATAGAAAATTAATTATTGTTCGTAAGCATCACAACAAAACGATAATTTATAATTTAGATTTCTGTCACTTCGACTCTTACTTTAAGAAAGATTCTTATTTGTATTTTATCGGTTTAAGAATAATTTTAATGAAGTAATGAGATTTTTGCGATTAAAATGACATCAAATACAACATAAATCGGATAATTTTTAATTAAACTAATAATAAAAATTTTGATTACATATTTAACTAAAAATTATCCGGTTTATGTCATGTCTGGTATCATTTTAATCGCAAAAAAATCATTAACCATTAAAATTATCTTGAAACAGGTAAAATGCAAAATATAAAAGTTTTATTTTCTATGGTAATATGACACATATATGTATATTCATGAAATACTATATAAGAAAGGAATAAGCCCTTCGCATGTAAGAAACTTCGAAACTCTTTGACGATATCTACTTGTTCTCGCTCTCGCTTTCGATGACATCGGAGACTTTTACTTATCTATAATAATTTATTTATTCAAAAATCATATGTAATAAAAACTAAAACATTTGTTTTATTTTAAAAAGTAATTTTTAAAATAATTTTAATGGATTAATGAGATTTTTAATTAAAATAACATCAAAAACACGATATGATTCAGATAATTTTTACTATATAAGATAATTTTTAGATAAGAAAAAACATATTTTATCTAATTTTTAAACTAACTAAAAATTATCCGGTTTATGTCATGTCTGGTATCATTTTAATCGCAAAAAAATCATTAACCATTAAAATTATCTTGAAACAGGTAAAATGCAAAATATAAAAGTTTTATTTTCTATGGTAATATGACACATATATGTATATTCATGAAATACTATATAAGAAAGGAATAAGCCCTTCGCATGTAAGAAACTTCGAAACTCTTTGACGATATCTACTTGTTCTCGCTCTCGCTTTCGATGACATCGGAGACTTTTACTTATCTATAATAATTTATTAAAATATAAGGAATATAAAAATTTTATAAAAGTTTTTGTATATTCAATAAATGCACTTCGTTAGACACTATTTCTGCTCCGAAGCGTTTGGTGGACAAACGAGTGCGAAGAATCTTGTTCTTCGAGCGAAAATAATGTTAAGCAAAGCGTATCTATTGTTATGTTTATTTTCAAAAGACTTGCATAATATTAATTATCTTTATTAATTATCGTTTTCTTTATGTTTATATATAAATTATGCTTATATAAATTTATATGTAATAGCTTTTAACGTGCATCAATGTGCACTAGCGCATCCAACTGAACTTATAAATCAAAAAATTACTTAAATAATATAATTAATACTTAATTATAAAAAGCTAATATGAATTAAAAGCATAATAATTTTGCTTAAAATGCTTGATAAGTTTGTTTCGAGAATAAGAAAAAAGCAATTTATTGTAAATATCTTCTACACGTTATATATTTAAAAATTAGGAAAATAATTAATAAGGAAATTAATTTAAGAAAATTTATTTTATATCACATATGTGCGTATATAAAAATAATACATAAAAATACTTCAATAATAACTTATTATCGCTGTAATATATACTAGAATGGCAAAACATCACGCACACCTAATAAAACATTAATAAATCCATAATATTTCTCCGCAATTTTGATCCATATATAATGTGTTTAGCACGGACATGCACCAACCGGTCATTTTACCATGGCTTCAAAAAGTGGATCTGGCCATGTAGTTCCACCGGCTCTAAAATGAATCTAGTTGACGCTACTGTACCAATTAGAAAATGTGTCTTATGAAAAACGGCGGCGTGACCCCTCTCAGGCTTCTATCTGACAATAGAAAAAAATTCAATTGCATCCAACTGGTCCAACTGCATATGCGCGCGAATCTTTTGCGACTAATCAATTTTATCATGCTAATTAATATAATTTTATTTTGCACCAAATAATTTATTCAGTTCAAAGCTGAAAAAGAAAAGAATGAAAAAAA